CAGACGACAACAGCTACAACTGCATCTACCAGAGAGAGGACGACAAGGGTATTGTGGGGGTTTCGCTGGCTCGGGAACTGATGGCGGTGGCTGGAGACGCACTCAAGACAAATATAACAACATTGGGACCCCTGGTGCTGCCGTTTTCGGAACAGTTGATGTTCTTTGTGACGCTTGTGAAAAGGAAAGTGTTAAAAATGAAGGTGAAGCCATATATTCCGGATTTCAAGCTGGCGTTTGAGCATTTCTGCATCCATGCGGGTGGGAGAGCGGTGCTGGATGAGATGGAGAAGAATTTGAATCTGACGGAGAGGCACATGGAGCCATCAAGGATGACACTGCACCGGTTTGGGAACACGTCAAGCAGCTCGTTGTGGTACGAGTTATCGTATGCAGAAGCAAAGGGACGGGTTTCGAAAGGGGATCGTGTGTGGCAGATTGCATTCGGGTCGGGTTTCAAGTGTAACAGTGCGGTATGGAGAGCACTGAAGACGATTCCGGGAGGATGTGAAGGTAACCCATGGGCGGATTGTATCGACAGGTACCCAGTAAAGGTTCCAGTTGCATAAGAAAGCAAGGCTCCAACTCCAACTCCAACTCCAACTTCAACATATATAAAAATATACTTGGAATTAATTAATGAAGCTGATGAGGATTGGCGGTGTTATATAATTAGTTTGAATTCTTACAGCATCATGTTTGTATATGAAGGGATTTCATTTGGATCATGATAATTGAGATCCCTCATGCCACCTGATGATTGTTAATTTGATTCGATGTCAATGTGATTAATTTTAATTACTATATATAAATATATATATATATATATCTTGTGTTAAATTAATTAAATTAAATTAAATGTGGATCTATCCATCAAACTCTGAATCTTGTTTATTTTCCAAAAAGCTTTCTCAAGGTTTTCGTCATTCTCAAATGAAAATATTGTTATTTATAAACAAATAATATAAAAAAGAAAAAGGAAAAAAGTGAGAGCTTGTTTTAAAATAAATTTTTCTTCATATTACCAATTCAAAAAAGAGCATCATCATCAATCAGTACTTCCACAAACATGTATGTTGTTTTATTTAAATGTTATATATATATATGTTATAAAAAGATCATTAATTACATCCGGAATATTAATGCAAGCAAAGCAAGGTGTACGCAAGTAATTAATGTTTATAGATGGGCAGTCACCTACCGTTACCCAACCACGCTGCCAGGCCCACAAGCTACAGCTACTTTTCCATAACACCCTCTCTAATCGCTAATCGCTAATCGCTAATCGCTAATCTCTAATCTCTAATCTCTAATCTCTAATCTCTAATCTGTGTCTGTATAATACCTTCAATCAGTCACCAATTTCTAGAATTATGGTTTAAGACAAACCAAACAAAATATCATTCACTTCATGTACATCATTTCAACTCCTACCTACTTTCTATTTCTTTATAACAAACTACATCTATATTATATTATATTATGTTTTCTTTTCTAAATCCATATATTTGTTCACTACAAGTTTTGATTAACTTCATTTTGATATCATGTTTTTGGTTGGTAATTGTTCTCTTCAACTTAATTAGTTGACATAAAATTGAGGAACACTAACTACTAACTACTAAGCTAATTTACCTGCCTGCATGTGTTTAAGAATTCATATAACTTACCATTAAAATGTTTAGAAACATCCTCCACTTCTCTCTCTCTCTCTCTCTCTAAATAACATTCACATATTTATCCATTTATTATATTATTATTTTTCTTGCATATTCAATTTAGATAAATATTTAATTTGTTGCATCTCATTAATTTTTAAATACGTATTTTTTGTTCTTACTTTTCTAATTCTAATTATGATTCATCTCATACTTTTTAAACACCAATTCACCAAACTCTATTTAAATTATGCCATTTTATTTCATTCTAAACTTTAGAAACATATTTTTATAAGTTTAAATATATATATATATATATATAGGCTTTTAAAATTTATTATTTTAAAATAATTTATAATTAAGTTCATGTTAACATATATCTCTTTTAAATATATTATGTGTTTTTTACTTGATATTTAATAAGAAAAAGTTATATTATAATTACTTATATTATGTTTGATATTTGTCATTCTTGATTTGTTAAATTTGGTTTATGTTTTGTGGATCAATTTATATGTACAATTTTTTATGTTTGAGAGTGAAGAAATAAATTTTCAATGATTAATATTGATTTTTTTCGAGAGACCCCTCCCTTGAAAAGGAAGGGTCTTGAATTCCTACCTTGGCTGGTTGCAGCCTGTTTAGCAAGTAGATGATCTACAGGACCCCAAGAGAGGGATATCAAACCAACCACTACTTCAACCAAACCTTTTATACATATATATACATATATATATATACATATATATATATACATAGACGATCCTAGGATTTTTGATGCCCTATGCAAAAATAATAATAAAATGTTCCTAAGCTTATTTTTTTAGCCAATGAAACAACAAAATATGCAATTTTTCAAAGAGTTTAAAATATATTCAAGCTAAGTGTCTCATCCCTATCTTGATTTTTATTAATTATAATAAAGAAATACAAGGGGAGGGGGAGGGGGAGGGGGAGGGGGGAGGACATAAAAACCAAAACCCCGAATACAGAATATAGAATGATAAAATGATAAATCCTGAATTAAGATCGTGCTTCCTTCTTTTCCAGTTTTCCCTTTTCCAAATTGAAATTAGCAAAATAGAAACTTTATTTCAATATATAAGACTTAGAAAACAAGGAAAACTATAATTAGTTTTTAACTAAAATAGTAAATTATATCCAAATTACTGTCATAGTAAGCGAAAAGTAAAACTCAATAGTTACAAGTCTAACGACTAAAGGGCTAAGGGCTTATCTGTTAGCAGTTTAATAAGCTTAATAGAACTAACAACTTATTCGCTCAACTAGGCATGACTGTTTCGTAGTGGCTTAATGATATAGAAAGTGACTTATTCAGCAAACTTCTAGTGGGAACTTTATATAGAAAGCCAAGTTTTCTTTTTCCAAACATGTCCCTACAACTAAAAAAACGCTCCTTATATCTGCAAAAAAACTTTCCAAAACAAATTTTTTTTCCAACTTATACAAATAAATTAATTCATACAGACAACTTTATCCATATATAACTTAATAAAAAACCAATCAAACGACTCCGAAATCTAATGTGGTAATGCCAAACCTCAAAGTAAACAAAGTCAAAAGAACAATAATAAATTGTAAAATTCATAATCTATGTTACTGTGCATTGCAAATAATAAGCGCCCAATAATTAAGATAATATCACAATATGTTGTTAATATTGTGCGGTGTGCTCCAACTATGTTGATACAGTGATGTGCTCATGTGCATTTAAAATTTCAATTATTAGATATTTCAATACGCAAGAGGAAGACTCATTATCAAAATGATAAAAACCCCTTAGCCTTAGCCTAGTAGGTCAGTAACCCACACGACCACATGATCCAACTTTATAATAACCAGTTAGAAATTTAGATTTTTTTGCAAAAAGATTTAAAGATTCATAAATCTTAATATGACCTCACACAGTAACTCGGTAAGTTTAATCAATAGTAGAAATCAATCATTCAAGATTTCCATCTTTGATTTCTTGAATCTAATTTCATGACTGTTAATCGGCTGGAAAGAGAACTTCATGTCTTGAAAATCGAAATAGTCAAACTTTGAAGAACAATAGAAATTAGATTGAATTGTTGGAATGATGGCGTTAATCGGTTCACGATGTGCATTCAGTATTCATCACTACTAGGCCTGTTTTTATAGTTAAAGCTCAGTTATTCAATTCCCAAATTATTAAACTTAAAACTAGTAATAGATGACAACTTGATACCCCTTTAGGCTTTGTTGCCTTGTGCGGCCGCACGGGCTGCACGCGGCCAGGGCCGGCCCTGTATATATATGTATGTATGTATGTATAAATTTGCTATCTTCTTTCTTGACATGGAATAGTATAAACTAAATTTATCATGTGATAGTAAATAAATAGGGAAAAGTCTGAAAAAAACTCAATGAACTTTAGTGTTTGGAATAATTAAGTTCGTGTACAATTTTTTGGAATAAATAATTCCTTGGACATTCCAAAACCTATTAAATAACTTCTTGGACTTTCTAAAATCTGTTAAATACATTCTTATGACCTATAAAACTTGTTAATATCATAAAATAATGGAAAAACATCTAGAAAAAAACCCAATGGACTTTCATATTTTGAACGATTAAGTTTCTAAACATTTTTTAAACAAAAAAAGTATTTACATCTATATAATGAAATAATATACCAAAAAGTACTTATATTACAAAAAAGTACTTACATTTAAAAAAAATTATTGATGAAATTTATTTTAATTAAAAACAAAAAATATTTTATTAGTGATTTT